AACCACATCAATCATCTTCTTTTCCCCCCCTTTTTTTTACAAACATACACATTTCATCAACAAGCATGTCAATTCACAAAACCAATTCATCCCTGTTTCAAAATAGTCAATAGTGAAAAAAATCAAAACCACCCCAACAACTCAATGAGTCAGCCTCTCCAGTCTTTGGTCCATTAAATTTCACCCTGAATAGTCAGTCTTTCTGGAGGCCCGCTGGCCCTCTCAGACCTGCGCAGGGTCTGAGGCACTGTGGTCCGAAACTACTGTCACAGAAACATCCCCACTTGTTCTCCTTTCTTTGTCCTGTGTGTCCGTGGCAGTATGCTATGTCCTGAGCGTCCTCAAAGGGTCTCCTGTGTTCTCAAAAGGCTTTGACTATTGCGCCAATACAAAAGCCCCATCTTCTGTCCTGACTGTATATGACCGAGGTGCAACCTCCTCCAATACAGTAGCCTTTCTATCCCATGAATCCGGACCCGAATTCGAAACCAATCCTGAGCCGCCAACAGTGAAAACACTAGCAGTTTGTCATAGTATACTTTTGGGTCTTGCCGTCAACTACAAGGCCCTGTCCTGCACAGCTAAGGGCAGTCATTAGGCAGAAAATAGGCAACCTGGAACGCAAGATTTCTGCTTGTGACTGGCCACACCCTTCGAGGACAGCTAGTCCCAGAATGTGTTTTTCCTTCACACAGAACTGATATTTAGCGCCAATTTAGCTACAAACCATGCTTCTGAACCCTCTGCAGAGTCTTTTTCCAACCGCTCATTGTGTTTCTTTAATAGTGGACCCCCAGACCACAAAGTCATCCACATAAACTCAAAACTCCCTCTAACCCCTCAATGACACTTTCCATGGCCTTGTGAAAGACCTCAGGGGCAGAACTTATGCCAAAAGGTAACCTCTTAAAGGAATATCTCCCAAAAGAGTATTGACTGTACACAGTTTGGTGCTGGCTGCATCCAACCTCACCTGCCAGAAATCCATTTGAAGCATCCAATTTGGAGAAATAGTGTGGCGCCAGCCATTTCACACACTTCACCTCCCTCTTAGGAATCTGAAAATGCTCCCTTTTGATACATGTATTAAGGTCCTTGGGGACTCTCAGATCTCCATTCCTATTCTGAACACACACCATGGAAATGACCCGTCTGTTGGGCTCCTCTGTTTTCACGAGCACGTTGAGTTTACACCCATTCTTCCCAACTCCTTCGTTAGATCATTCCATATTGGCACTGGATCTCTGGAACCATTTTGATTACTTGTCACCCGTTGAACACTGTGCAGCCAGTCAAAGTCATTCATTGTGTTACACTCGCTTAACCAGCCCCAAGGACTCACATGCTGTATCCCCCCAAAAGAGAATCATGCCCCTCTGGTACAATCACAACATTAGTGTGTGGCTTCTTGTTTTCCCCTACTACAGTTAGCTGACACTAACCTTTAGTCTCAATTGCTTGGCCATTGTAAGCTTTGAGAGCCACAGCCTTTTGCATGATGGCTGCTTTGTGCTTTAGCTCATGAAAATCCCTCATATTGATCATGTTTGGCTTTAGCCCCTGTATCCAGCTTTAAGGTCAAAATTGTACTGTTGACCACGAGTGGTACAACCCAGTGGTCACTAGCTACAGTATGGACCTGTGGGTGGTTCTTGGCCCGTCCCCCATGCAATCCACAGTGCCCACATACAAATCACTTTGTTCATTCTCCTCCATTTCAATGATGTGAACATTTTTCTCCCATACTTGTCCTTTGCAAAACACATTTTTCCAAAATGATTTTTCTCCTTGCACTGTAGCTACATTTTCCAAAGGCAGGGCACTTCCTGCTGGTGCCACACCTAATACAATCTATTGCTTGTGACTCCTTGGTCCAAAGTCATATTGCTTGGGCTCCTTTGCTCATAGCGCCCCTTGTGTCCTTGTCTACAAAATTCACAGCTGCATTTTCACCTCCATAGCAGTGTTTGCTGGTTGGAGCTGAATGTTTTATATGCAATTGTGCCAGCTCATTCACCTGACATATTTTTATTGAGTGTCCAAAATTTCCCCCGCAATCTTTCTCTAACTCTGGAGTCATTTATACAAACACAATCTGATCTCAAAGCATAGAGGAGGTTAGGTCTACAGAATTATACATCTGTGCTTTAATTCAAATCTGTAAGAAAGACGTCAACTTTTCACCTTGCTGTTTATACGACAGCGAAACACATAACGTTCATATGTCTCGTCTTCTTAGGTGAAAAATAGCATCAAACACATCCAGTACCTCCGCGAACTCGTCTCTATCCTCCTCATTTGGAAACATAAAGGAATTGAATATATCGATTGCCTGTGGTCCGCTATAGTAAGAAAGAGAGCAACTTTACGTTCATCCGGCTCTTGTAACTCCAATAGCAGATAATACAACAAAAACCGCTGTTTAAATGTTTTCCAATTCGCGTCCACATTCCCATCCAGGCTCAAAGCCTCTGGTGGCTTGATAACATCCATTGCACTTCATAAACACCAACATTCACAAAAAAACCGATTTCCACTCCTGGTACCATGTATTACTTTTTTGGTTACAGCGAGCAAAGACGACCATCACCATCATCATAGTTAACACGTTTTAATGTTAGGAAGCCAAGATGGCGGCTTGAACATTTACCGAGCTGTGCACCAAACTTCAGAAAGATTGTGAAGAAAAAAACTAGTTTCCAGTCATTCCTATTATTGCTTTTATTTGCTCAATATATTAGAACTTCCCTGTTGACTGGAATGATAAGTGGATAATTATTTCGGCATGTCCATGCGAAATCGTGAAAAAAATAGAAAGGAAGAAGCTAGCCGTTCTATTGCTAATCAACAAGAGAGGAACGTGCTTATAGACAACTGCCAAACTACGATTTTCCCTGTGGTAATCTCACGCTTTCGAGGGCTGTTGAAGATGACGAGTTCCCCCCCTTTACCATTTACTTCTGTCAAACCTCCACCCTCCAAAAACACAATATGGTCTCTGACATCGTGGCTACCCTCTCCTTACTTATCAACTCCATGTCTGACGCCATTGAGAAAATGGTAGGTGCAAACACCATGGTAATTGAATGCTTAAAAAGACTGTGGAGTTTGCATTTGGGGAAATCAAGGATGTGAAAATGAGAGTGGCTAAAGTTGAAAACAATGTGGAAAAGGTGGAACAGAAATAACAACGTCTACCATAGACGTCTCACTGATCTGGAGAAATACACAAGAAGATGGAACCTGAGACTATCTACGGCGTGCCCAAGGTGGAGAATGAGGATGTGCGGCACGAGGCTATCCACATCTGCCAAGAAGTTATGCCTGCAGAGAAGAACAAAGTTAATGAACGTTGTGCATCACCTCGGCAAGAAGAAAAACAGCAAAACGATTCAAGGCCAAGGGGTATCATCATCCTCTTCACTGCCAGATTCTACAGAGATGCTATCTGGAAAGCTGCAGGGAAGAACGCGTTCCTTCAGAGCCATGGTCTACATTTCGCCGAGCATCTCAGCCCAGAGGACATAGAAAGGAGGAACAAGTTGTGGCCAACGATTAAGAAAGCACGAAATGAGGGAAAGGCAGGACGAGGCTTCATCAACCAGTTCGGAAATCCGTATTCCTCACTAGAATCTCACCAGAAGGAACAGATTGATGCTTTCAGCCATGGTATTCTCATTTTCCTTGTACTGTCTACCTAACAAGCCTCGGGTTACTATTTTTCAGACTACTCAGGTACCTCAATATTTTATTTGTTTTTTCTTGTATGACCAGAAGAAGGCCTATTTTTGTTTACAAACTCACAAAGAAGACTGGAAGTTTTATTTATTTATTTTGTATGCATACAGTAACTGTTTTAAAGGAGCACACATGTCTGCTCTGACTTACTTTACAGTGTTATTGTTCTATTGATTTATATTATTATTATATAAAAAGAAAAAAATTTCACCTTCATTTAACCAGGTAAGCCAGTTGAGAACAAGTTCTCATTTACTACTGCGACCTGGCCAAGATAAAGCAAAGCAGTGCGATAAAAACAACAACACATATGGGGTAAAACAAAACATAAAGTCAAAAATACAACAGAAAATATATATACAGTGTGTGCAAATGTAGCAAGTTATGGTGGTAAGGCAATAAATAGGCTATAGTGCAAAAATATTACAATTAGTATTAACACTGGAATGATAGATACTTATTTCCAAGTGAGATGCACTTAAAATAGTAGGTACCCCTTTATTTTTTATAATCTTTTTTTATCAGAATAGTCCCTGATTACACTAAAGAGGGTTTTATTATCTCTTACTACAGAGAACACTTGGTTTGGTCTTGAACATAATTTTCTATTGAGTTGAATTTCAAGAGCCGGATTTTCAACTAGCTCAGAGAGTTTATGTTATAAGCAATTTTCACTTTAAATTGACTTAAATGGTGCAGATCTCGGTTCATTATAGCTTACGTTCACTGCTCCTACCTTTTGACTCATCCTACAGTTTATACTTTTATCTTTGTTGTTTTTGCAAAACAGGGAGCTCTTTAAATTTGAAGTGGCCAAATACCTATAGTATCTGAAGATTATGCCTTTGTTAAATGTTTTTCATGAAGAAATGGAATGTTGGTTATGTTAGTATCAAAAGGCAATGTTTAGTATAATGTCACATATAATAGACGGAAGTGTGTGGTTGAAGGAACCCTTTTTGTGATTGGCCAGAAGAGGGA